ATATATATAGATATATATATACACATATATATAGATATGTACACATATCTATATATATGTGTGTATGTGTGTATATATATATCTATATATAGTATAAATATAATGTATAAAAAGTTCTGTATTTTAAATGTAACTGACCTTCAAAGAGGCCCGAAAATCAACTAGTGTTGCCTAAATTTCCATATTATTCTAACTCAAGTCACAAGTATTTCGCTGTTGTGCAATGGACTCCAGAGTTAATGTCAGTTATGCACCCAAACCTTCTTATGTACGTATTATCATGATCCCAGTTTGTGAAGCCTCATGTAACTGTAGGTGAATGAATCTTAATTGATTTACATTCTCCTCCATTCAGAGGCTCACCATAATAAGCAGTAACACAGTGCCCTCTGCTGGTAAATAAGTTGTATTGCAAAATGTAACAAAATAAGGACTGTGTTGAAAAAATCCTTTATAAAGCCAAACGTCAAACTTGTTAAAAAACTGATCAGATCGTCTCTGTAATGAAATATATAAAATATTACTTTAATCCAGAAATGTACATTTTAAAATATGACTTCTTTAAAATATGACAAGCGACTAAAATTAGTTTATTCTTCAGGGTGGCTGGGCAATCCCTTAGAGCAGAGGTCTTCAACAGGGGTCCGCGACCCTTAGGGGGTCCGCAGAGGTTCTGCATGGGGGTCGAAAGGTTTTGGTTGATTAAACTTTTTGTTATATTCCCCCTTGCAATTTTCTCCACTAATTGAAATGTCTTTAAATCCACATTAACGTGAATTCAACACACTGTAGTAAACAGACAATTGAAGGCATAACATGTCTTTCTGTCATCAGTGCACACATTCAGCGACACACACAGGAGCTCTTTCAAGCTGGGCACCATTTCATTCACAACACCTGTCCCATCAATGAGAATCAGAATCAGAAATACTTTAATAATCCCAGGGCGAAATTACTTTCGTTACATTACTCCATATGTAATAGAGTGACTATAGGACTTGTTTGATATAACACAATTTCATACAA